ACAATGAAATTTGAGTTCAATGTCTTAGATAAAGCTGGAGAAGAAACAAAATGACTTTGTAACTTCTTAGAGAATAATCCAAATTGGCCAAAGCCTGTGCTTGCAATATTCATTCACTATGATAGTCAATCTATGATTGGAAGGGCACATAATTGTATTTATAACGATAAGTCAAGACACATACATCATAGACACAATATTGTTAGACAATTGTTCTTTAATGGTACTATATCCATTGACTATCTGAAGTCAAAAAGATAATATTGCAGATCTGCTTACAAAATGTTTGACTAGAGGGCAAGTGAAAAGTTTATCAAGGGGAATGGGCTTAAAGATTATTATTTAACCAAGAGTTACTGTAATGGCAACCCAACTTAGCTTACTGGACATCCCAAGATCTAAGTTCAAAGAAACAATCGAAATATGTGTAACTTAGTAGACACTGAAGAAATTTTCTAAACTCCTTCTCATTCCTATGATGAGACAGTGCACATCTGTCGTGAGAACTAGGGTAAGTTATGTTTTTAATAATATTCTGTGACTTGAAAATGTCTACGTGGGGTATAGCAGGATATTCTTAATCAAAAATCACCTATGTGAGTAAAGAATTAGCCCCATCTATTAGAATCGTAGACTGATTACTCTAAAATTACTCATAAAACTAAATGGTGTTCAAGGCCAAAATGAACACAAACGTGAGAACCTATTGTGTGCGAAGGAAAATAGTGTGAATTTTATTGTCTTGGTATGCACAAATGGCTAATAGTTCATAGACATTATGTCCATTGATTAGCCAAGTAAATATGATAGTTTGTTACTACGGAAAAGTTTAAGGCCACTGGTTACTTATCCAAATGTAGTAACTTGTCACCTGTACTTAAACCCATGTCTGCATTATCATACATCGAATTTTCATTCATGTGGGGGATTGTTGAAAAAAATAATTTTAAACAAGATTATTTGAGCAACTTGAGGCTTAAATAAAAGTGGGACCCATACCTCAAAATTAGTGGGACCAAGTTTAAATACGTTCTCCTCCGCGAGGAGATTGATGTGGTATATTTATTTGTCCAAAACTATCAAGATTTAAATGAGAAATTATGTCTCAAAATGACCTATTTGAAGTGATGAAATAAACTAAAATTGATGTAATGAAATAAGGTTTGTCCCACATTAGAAGAAGACCAACACTTTGATGAGTTAATATACTCCTAGTTGGCTTCATAGGTTGGGCCCTAAGGGGTACCACACTTTTATGAGCGGAACGAGCACCTATACTACCTTGGTCATCACACACGTATGGGTTCACCACCCACTTGCCTCGCCATGCCACGGCCTGGCCGGGCTCGGGCATATTTATTTGGAGCAATGTGGGTCATGGGTCAAATCAATCGAATTTTAAATCCAAGTGAATTCATGTAGAACATCGCGCCATCATATGCACATGGTATAAAGGAGAAAAATGACGCCCAAATTGAGAAGTGTTGCACCCCCTTGAAATGGGTGCATGTACATCACACCTCATACTGTAACATCCCCAAGCCGCCTCTTAAAAGAGGTAGCCGGGGTGTTAAACACCTAGCCCAGGACTCCCCCCCTAAGCAACCCTGAGTAACCTCTGGCATACTTAACAGTAACCTCCAGCATACTTACAGGCCCCTCGGGAGTCGGCTCTGATACCATTTCCTGCACCCTAAACCTACATCTCTAGTGGTAGTCCATAACCTACAGCTCCCATGTAAGACCTAAAGCCTAGGCTCTGATACCATTTGTAACATCCCCAAGCCGCCTCTTAAAAGAGGTAGCCGGGGTGTTAAACACCTAGCCCAGGACTCCCCCCCTAAGCAACCCTGAGTAACCTCTGGCATACTTAACAGTAACCTCCAGCATACTTACAGGCCCCTCGGGAGTCGGCTCTGATACCATTTGTAACATCCCCAAGCCGCCTCTTAAAAGAGGTAGCCGGGGTGTTAAACACCTAGCCCAGGACTCCCCCCCTAAGCAACCCTGAGTAACCTCTGGCATACTTAACAGTAACCTCCAGCATACTTACAGGCCCCTCGGGAGTCGGCTCTGATACCATTTCCAACATTAAGTCAATTAGGAGGGGCTCCCTCCGATGCATCGTCCCATACCAATGCACCGGCCAAGCCATTCCAGCCAATCATCACATTTATGTTGGTTCATCCCCGTACCATGTATGTTGATTGTTTCTCATGAATCTACCCAACGATTATACCTAGTCCACCCTTTTATAATCACAATCACAAGTACTTAGGGAAGGGGCGTCTACCATCCCAATGGCAGTGACGAGTCCCTCCCCAGGAATAGTATACCAACCCTAGTTCGAACTCCAGGCGTACGATAGTGGTCGCATTACCAAATGACAACTCACTACAAGTGCAAGAAACCATCTCCCCCCCCACTGGGTTCAACTGACATTTACACTCTACGGCATATCTCGTAGGTAATCCAAGTCCCTCACAACCACCATACAATGAGTAAACCAACATATTCTCAATCAATTCACATTTTACCAATTAATCGCAAAATACCCAAATTTCACAAGTAAAGCGTCATAGCAAGATGGAATTAAAATGAGCAAAAGATCAATATAAAGATCATTTTCGTTGAACAATATCGAACACTAAATTTATAAAGTGAGAACCAAGGCAATATATGGAGAAAACTCAACTTTTCTTAAAACCAAGTTTGGAAGATGAAAAAGAGAAATTTAATGGTTACCAAACCATCCCATTATTCAAACATAGCATTTATTACAAGGAGAATTAAGAATCATACAAATCATATCAAATAAATATGGATGGGAGTGGAAAACATATGTATATACATAAACCCTAGCCTCAATGTAAGAAATTAGGAAGAAATCCCCTACCTCTTGGTTGTAGCTTCAATCTAAGACCCAAGATTCAAACTCTTCCTATTCTCCTTCATTTTCCTCTTAATTTCGTCCTCCTAGGGTTTCTAGAGATTTGGGTGTGAGTGGTTGAGGAATAGAAGCAAAAGAAATGGGTGGAGAAGAGAAAACTTGAGAAATTCGATTTTGATCTTTATGAGGTGGGAATCTCTCTTGACCTTGGTGTTTTTCTCTCCCTTTTCTCTTCTCTTAGGGCTCTAAGGTATTTAGAGTGGGAGGGAAATGAAGAATGGAAGAAATAGGGCTTGGAATGGATGCTTTAAAACCCAAAAATCCCGACTTTTACTGTTCATCGTCTGTTTTGGGGATTTTCCAGACTTACTGTTTTCCTTATTTTTGATCATGATAAACTTTGAATCTGAAAAAGTTCAAAACATTAAAGTTGTAGATCTAGATGTCTTCTGCATTGTGTCAAAATTTCAGCTCAATCGGACCATTGTAGCAAGAGTTATGACGATTCTACGACAACTGGTCCGGAGTAGGCAATGTACCCGGAGCAGCGCCCCAGCGCCCATTTGGGCGCCCCTTTTCACTTCCAATCCTTCCAACTTTAATCCTAACTTATCCTACATACTTTTCTACATCGACCTAATTAGTTCAAGTTCTTTTATGATTTATTTTGTACATTTTCATACCGAAACTAATCTTTTAACTACTCTTTCCTTGAGTTATACTATTTTAATATTTCAAATGAAATAATTACTGAACACCTATGTCTTTTATTTTTTATTTTTTATTTTTTTAACGCATGTGGGGTATTACACATACAGTGGTTGCCAAAGCTTTAGTGAACCTTGAATTTTTAAATTTCTATTCGTTATTTTGAATTTGGCACTAAAATGGGTCTAGTTCATTCGAGAGGCTGTGTTCATTCCAGAGGTGCCTTTACCTGTTTAGATTAAAGAATGTGTCTCTTCAATCTAAACAGGAGTACTCATGCCTTTTCAGGCAATCTAAAACAGCCACCAAAGGTCTATAAATAGACTGCCCCAATGCCATTTCAATCCATCCCAATTCTGGATTTCAGTTTCAAAATTTCTTCTCTCTTTTTGTGCATATTATTGCATTATTCTTTTGGTTCGATTCAAGTATAAACACAAGTTATGTTTACTGGAATCTTGAATATTGAAGTGCTGTTTTTTCAAGAACGTAAAATTCGTTCTTTCTTAAGAGATAGTTACTCATCAACTTTGAGCACCAAAAGGGATCAAATTTGTCTTAAGGAGATTGTGTTTCATAAGGCTCAGATTATCTATTCTTGTTTTTTTATTAATTCTTCGTGCAGATCTGTGTCCCTGTGAGTGCACTGTTTTTGTTTTCTATACATTCTGTTTAAATTAGTGTATAACTTTATACAGTTTAATATAATGTAATTATAAACCTATTTTCTATAACAATCAACACATTCCCCAATGCCAAATAATCAACGTTTACACTCTTTTCTCTATTCCCTACCTCTTTCATATTACTTTAATTTTAAGATGTTTAATTAAAGAAAAAAGAAAAAGAAATTAATATTTAAAATATAAATACTACACGATCAGTGCTCTATTTTTAGTATTATAAGGTGTCTACAAGCACAAAGTTATTGTTAGTCTATCTAGTATTACAATTAGTAAGTTGAATTCTCAACTTATAAAAACATAAAAAGGTCGAGGGCACAAAATTTATTCTTAATTTTTTTTTTGCTTCAAAACATTAAATCAACCAACACATTCTCCAATATCACACTAATCCGCACCTAGGTCTCTCTTCTTTACTCCCACCTCTCTCCTCTCTCCTCTCTCCTCTCTCTCATTCATCTTTCTTATTTTCTTTGTATTCAAGTTAATTTTATATTATATAATTAAAGAAAAAAGGATAGAATTATTATTTAAAATAAATATTATATGATTAATATTTAATTTTTAATATTATAAAGTGTCTTCCGATATAAAATTATTGCTAGTTTGAAAAAAATAACTTACAATCTAACTTTTGAAACTCTTAAAAATTCTAGGTTTTTTTTTTCTTTGAACGGGATGACAATTCTAAGTTGAGCCCAATACAAAAGACGAGTCAAATGGTAGACCCAATCTATTTTGCATGTCCTGCCCAATTCCAGCATATACTTCACGCGCTGGAGAAGAGCGTGACCTCATGGGTATTCAAAAATTTTCGGTTAAAATGGACACAGTACTACGTAAGAAAACTCCACATTTTCCTCTTTCTTCTCTTTTCAAAGTTCCCATTTCTCTGTCTCTTCGTCATAGCCATCTCTCTCTCTCTCTCTCTCTCTCTCTCTCTCATACATATAAATATATACGCGCATACAAATTGTAATATTCAATATAATGGTCAGAGATTTTTCTTTCTTTCTGTTCTCTGCATTGAATTGAATTGGATCTGAATCTCTCTCTATCTACACGCACCTAATTCTCTCTGTAGCTAGATCTGAGGGGAAATAGAATGGATAATGGGGAGATTGAGGGTTCCGACGACAATGAAATCCCAACAACGCACGGGCGTGTTGGGCGCAAGTATAGCCCAGTGGTGGCGCACGACAGCGATCGGGCCGTGCTGGAGATGTCCTCTTTGGATCCTGAATCTTCTTCTTCTTCATTTCCCAATCGCGGCAATCCCTTGAAGTAAGCTGCTTGGCTTTTATCTTTTTTCTCTATGTGGATATGAGCAAACCTGCATTTGAACATCCATCATCTGTGATGCTGTTATGCTTATGAAAATTCATCTAATTTTTCTTAGGTAATTTTTATTGCTTGAACTTGGCAAGTGGGGATTATCTACAATTAGTTAATCTGATCAGTGACTAATCTTACTATTCAAGTTTTTGTTGCTGGGTCAGTTTTTGTTGAGGGTAAGCCTTTGAAGCAATGTTACTGATCATCGAACCGGCAAGGGCCCGGATCAACTGGTCGGTCATAAAATAAAAAAAATTAAAAAAAACTATAAATATTATAAAACATATAATTTAGCTAAAAAATATTAAACATGTCCAAAACCCCTAAACAATTTACCATTTACACACATTTACCAAATTCCAATATCTATAAACTACATAACCAAACATGGAACATAGACACCCACTCACTTTCTAGAAACATGCATCAAATTCAAAGAACTTAGATTGCAATGACTAAAAGAGGTTAAATCAAATTCTCAAGAATTTGACTAATTTCAAGCATTTAATCGTTAAAAGAGGTCAAATGAAATTGAATTTATATAGTAAACAACCTAACATGAAAGAAATTCCTTCAATCAATGAAATGGGCTTGAATATATCCCAATAAATTACTGACGAATTAAGAAACACAAATATGAAATGGGACCCTAATTCATCTGTGCAGAAGTTTCAGAGGACTTAGAGGCATAGAGAGCTACTGTGTGTGCATGTGTGAGAAAGAGAGGTTCCATTGCTCATCGCCTGAGTCAGATAGGTTGACTGAGTGAGAAAGATGGAGCTTCGAGCAAAGGAAGAGGGGTAGTCGCTGATTGGTTGCCTCCCTTAGTTGTTATTCGTCGTCGGTGTGGCCGCTAAAAATTGAAGTGGGAAGTCAATTGTGAAGCGAAGTGGTCTCTCTCAGCCTCAACCCTCAATTCTGCCAAAGTTTTTGAAAGTAGTGAAATCATAATCTAATTGATTTCAGATTGGATGATTTTATGGACCATATGTTATTCATTAGAATTCTATACATAGGCAAAACTTTGAATCATTTTTTCTCGCCCCGTACGAGGAGAACCCTTCCTTTACATTTCTAGGGAGTACCTAGCCCCCTTGTTTTAGGGAACCCTGGGAGTGATCGGCGGCTCAAAGATCTGTATTCCAAAGGTTTACTGAGGTGAAGCTTTTGGCAGATATTTGTTATTTGTAGGTTTCTCTACTTCATGCTCTTCCGAGGGGATTTAGGGCAAAATGCCCCCAAAAAAAGGAGATTTTTTTTTCATATAAGAAGTGGAATTCGAACCGCTGGTTTTAAAAAACCGTGCGGCCGGTTAAACGTTAAACGGTTTTCTTCTGGTTTTTTTCCTTATGTGGTCTAACTAGAGAATCGAACTGGTTAAGGTCACAGGTCATGGTTGAATTGGCCGGCCCAGTCCGGTCCTGATAACATTGTTTAGAAGTGAAGAAAATGGAATTGATGTCGAATATTAAATGCTTTAGCTGCGTGGCTTTCGAAAAAGAGAGAAACTAAGGGTGGGAATACAAAAATATCTAGAAAAAGTAAAAGAGCTTAAATCAAATGGGTTAGTCGCGTGACATTGGTACACAAAGGTAGAACTGAGGGTTGAAAAATTTACTGGGAAAAAAAAGTAGAAAGAGATTTTATAAACCCTTTCTTTTTGTACCATAACCCACAAGGTGGCCATTGACATCACTTTGTCCCTTGTAAACTCCTAATACTCAAATTCTCCATCAAAGATTCTTCTAATTCCTTCCAGCCAAACAATCCAAAAAATTGTCATCGCTGCACAATTTATAAAGCCTCTTGGATGACTTGATCCATCCCCACCTTCCTAAATAATTTGAGCCACAAGTTTAGTGTATAAGATAATGAAGAAAGAGAGGCTTGATCATCTCTCTATTAGATCACAAATATTAACAATCTCATGGGAAATAGTCCATGCAAAACTTGCTCCTCACTAAGCGCCATGACCTTCTAGAATCCTAAAGGGTTCGAGAATGGGGTAAAGTGGATCATCAATCAATGAAAGAAAGAAAGATTTACAAGAAAAAGTCCCCGAAGAATCAAGAATCTAAAACCTTTTATCAATAGCCAACAACTCCAATGCCAAGGATTCAAGTACACATAAGAAAGATGAGAGTTCCATAATTTCCCTTTCATTCGGGTTTTGTAGGTAATCAAAATTCAACCTAACTTGAAAGGAGGAAGGACAAAACATATAAACGACAAACGTATTATGAGACCAAGGTAACCCACAGATTAGAGAGAACAAATAAGCAAAAGATACCCACCTAAGATGAGCGTTCCATAATTTCCCTTTTATTCAAATTTTGTAAAATTTAAATTTCCATCCAACTAGAGAAGAGGAAGAACAAGTCATACAAGCAACAAATATATTTTCAGACCGAGATAACCAATAGAGCTGAGGGAGCAACAAAGACAAAGATGACTCACCTCTACAAATATCCTCCCATGAGCGAATTATTCCTCGTATCATATCGGATATGACATCCGTGTTTGTATCTTTATGTTCGTATTATATCGGATACGATAACCGTGTCCATATCCGTATCCGTGCTCCTTTGACCACCACATTTAAGTCCATAAATTGGATTGAAGTCCATATTTACTATTAATAACATGATGAAATAGGAATTGGAAGTGAGGGATGTAATTAAGGTAAATGAACTCTTTTCTCCTTGTCACTTCCTTCCCATCAAAAGTTATCATCTTTTCCACCATCTTGCGATGTTCACAAAATTTTGAAAAATACTAAGAAATAATAGATTATTAGCTAAAAAAACGGCACTAAAGTCTCTCATCCTTGGATCAAAAGTCCCTTGTCCAACCATCCAACCTTTTTAGTACCTTCTCTAAAACTGGATTCCAAAAGCTTAAAGACAAATGATTTCCCTCAACAGAGGCCCCAAATAATTCGAGGGCCATTTTTCTAACATACAACATAACCTACTTGCTAACCATTCTAACTTGATTTACTGTAAATTTACTCTTGCCGCAAAACTCTTAGACATATTCACTTTTATCATTATTCAATCGTTACAACTCACTCTTCTGTTCACTAACATAACATCCACCATTGAATCTCACCACACCTTCACCTAACCATACCCAAATCCCATGAGTTTCAAAACTTATCTGAAACTTCACACCTCTCTTTCTCCCCCTATCCCAATAGCTACCCACCACTATCGCCATTCACCCACCATTCCCAATTAAAACCCTAGGTAATCACCACCGTTATCTACGCTTCGGTGTTTTCAATAGTGAGCATGGCAAAATTGAAGCGTAAGTCATTAAACCTTTGTTTTACAAACTTACCCACTCCCTTTCACCAAATTGTGCCGCATCACACTAGATTTGACTTATTGAGCCCATGTGTACTACAACTACCTCCAACACCTCTCATTCTTTGAGTTGCTCGTTGATCTTGAAGCTGAACAAGACCACCACCACCGTGAAATCATTAAGAGCACGACCACGAAGTTAATCTCTTTCTTTTCTCTCTTCAGTATTGTGGTTTTGTTTTTAGAAATTTAAAGTTGTACATAGTTGGTTATACATATTACTTGAGATTTGGTCAAAATTGAGTATTTTATTGTTTAATTTTTGATTTTTTTGGCTGAATAGTTAAGCTCGTTTTTGGCTCGAGAGAGCTCGAGTCGAATCCAAGCAGTTCACAGCCGAGCCAAGTCAAGCCTGAGCATACCCAAGCTCGACTTGATTATCACCCCTTGCTTTACATGTAATAAATGGTCCACAACATAAACAGACCATATGGTGCACAAAACTCAATAAGACAAGTGATAAGATCTATGAGAATTCCGGGATGTAGCTTCCCACTTCACATTTCTTATCACATGCAACTCAAGTTCCTCGCATCACATAAACCCAATCCAAAATTAAGTGATGTAGGAGCATCATTTCCTGTACCGATGTGGTTCCACCCTGAGTGATTAGAATTTGCGCTATGGGATAAAGGAATTGATTCTGCCTCTCCCACAAGTTGTGGCTTTTGGTACAAGTGGATGTCTCATGTTCGAGACTCTTCCAATGTGGATGTATGATGCAAGAGTATCCTAGGTGTGGTGCATTATTTCCCGCACTAGTATGATTTTGCCTCGATTGATTTGAACCTAGGATATGGGATCAAGTAATTGTTTCGTCTTTCCCATAAGTCACGACCGTTGGGACAAGTGGCTGGGTCTTCCTACTTCATTAAGTAATATAATCATTCCACGGAATGTTAAGTGGAACATACACAACCCCTTTAGAGCCTCTTGCAAATGCTAGTAAACCTTGGCCAAGTATATGGTCTTTCACTTAAGGGAACCAAAAATCTATTCTCATTCCTCTTTATGGTTCCACAAACACAAAGGCAAACTTATTTGTTGTACATCATAACCCATAAGGTTCCACTAGTAACAAGGCACACACTGTTGCCACCTATAATTAACATGATATCACTATGCATGCCAATCGTCACATAATTGGCAACAAGTATGCGTGATTATAACTTTCAATCCAGTCCATGCCATTATAATCAATTAAGTGAATCAATGATGCTATTGACTAGGCAACAAACGAAATTTCAAGTGCAATAAGTAAAAAACAATAAGTTTGGACGAGTTTTGAAACTTGGAACTATTTTGTAATTGATTCTAACCCCCTTAATATTTTAAATTATAGTTTTGACCACATAAAAAATTTGGAACAACCAGATGTGCTAACTTACAGTTTTAGCTTCTTAGCTCTCCCATTCCTACCCAATTCAACCTCACATCTTAATTAAACCAAGATTTCCACAATCCAATCACTTTCCCAATGTGAGCCGATCAATTTCCCAGTTCAAATCACCAAAGTGTACCAATACAAACAATTCATGCTTTAAATGCATCAATCTTCAACCATGAACAAAGCACACACGTTGACACAATTCAAGCCCGTTAGAGCATCCAATTAAAACCTTAGGGGTGTACCTAATCTTTTGATATGGAATAAAAGTTTTGTTCACACCCTCCTTGAGGCTATGATGACTAAGGTTTTCATGTAAGCTAACAAATTGAACCTAAAGAGGTAGACAAACAATCTGGAGAGTTTAAATGAGTGGGAGACTTAATTCATTTACTGCATAAACTAAATTGATACCTACAAACAGATAGATCATAGAATTACTAGCTTTGAAATTATTTAAGTGAAAGTAACTCAAAATTAATTGGCAATGGGTAGAGTGACCTATTGAGTATATACACTAACCTAGGATGTACTTAGCTTTTTGATGTGGAACAAAAGTTTTGTTCATGACCTACATATGCATTAGCAATGACCAAACTAACTACAAGCATCTAAAAAAGGCTGTTTTTCAAATGCCATATGAGTAACTAATAAAATAGAAGTACGACCACTATATATGACTGTGATTGTCAAATCATGTATTGGAAGACGTATTGTTTTCCAAAAATTGTGCATCGTGCAGGGGTAGAGCCAAAAATTATGTTTAGGGTGGACACTTTACTAAAAAATTTTAATTTTTTTTCTTCTAATCAATAAAAATAAAATAATATATTTAAATTTACTATATTGTATTTGATACTTAAAAATTCATAAAATATGAAAAGGGTGAAACTTTGATAAATATAGCATACATAAATAAAAACAAACAAAACAGAGAGGCCAATTATACCCCTTCATAACAAATGAAGCAAATTGCATAAAAGATACTATAATATTTCTCCATATATATGATCAAACTATTAGTCATTGATCACTCATTTAATTAAGTAACCTAGTTGCCATAATCTCTATAGTTTTTTTTTTTAATTGAAATCTCTATATCTTTAAAAAAATGAGTTTGACATGTCAAAAATTTACATTGATGTATCCTTAAAGTGTCCAAAGTGTGTCAAAAAATTTATAATTATTTAGGTACGAAGACTATACTAATTGATAGAACAAAAAATGATAGAGTGGACACACTTAAATATATTTTAAATTATTTGAAATATACATAAGTAATATTTAAAAAAAAATTGAGGGTGGGCATGTGCCCCCTGATCCTCAAGTAGCTCCGTCCTTGGCATCGTGTATCGTATTGTATCGTGTATTGTAAGTTACGCATAATTCTAAATAATTATTAATAAAATATATATATCTTTATAAAAAAGTCATAAACTCATAATAACATAACATTTCATTAATATTCTACAAACCATTCAAACTTCCAATACAGTTCACTAATATCAAAATGCATAGGCCTTTAATTCAAACTTTGAAGGGGCTTTTGATGTGCGATAGATTGGGGAGGGGCTTCTGTGCTTCGTAGATCCGGAGGGGTAGTAGCTACCTCTGGTCTTCGTCAATCAGAACAACTAAAGAAGGGCTTTATTTTGAAAGCCCTAGCTGGTGAAACGATGCCATTTCATTGGCTAGGGCTTAAAAAAATAACTTCTGCCGTGAAACATCATCACTTCAGTGCCAAAAGCCAGTATATATGTGTGTGCGCGAGACCGCACGTGTATCGGATGATACGTATCATATTATACGTATCATAACTTGTGTTGTACGAGATAGTGCAAAAACGATAGAGAAGCACAATTCGTATCGTTTTTCTGGTGTATTGTGATGTATGTATCGTACAATACTAATAACTATAGATATGACCTTATGCATCTATGCTCCCTGGCCCATTCTTGCACACACAGCCAATGTGCTTTGTTTTCTAGCCTATATTAACACCAATGGTTTGTATGACTTGGACGGCCACATAAAGTACTTGAATTGTTGAATAACTATACCCTTGGGACTTTCTTCAATTCCGGAAGGTGGTGCTGAAACAACATCAAGGTGTAAAGCACATAGTAGACATAGCTTAGGGATCAGAAAATTCAAACTTCTCATAAACAAGCACACCTCTAACCCACCATTTGTTTAACTAAATTAGTCTTTTATTTTCGTGTTTGTCAATTTTGTAGGTGATTTTCCTCTTAGGAATCTGCAGACCCTATCTTTTTGTGGAATTTTGGAATTGTCTAAAAGTAGGCATGAGTGATATAATTCATGCATATATGCCATAAAATTTAAAGATTTTAATTTGTTTTAAAGTTTGTTTTGTTTTATTTGTAAAACATTTATTTTTGTGCTGATTGAATGCTGTGGCAGGAAAATAAAAGTGAACATGCAGCAAAGCTTGGGTTCTAATTCAAGGGAAGGGTCATTACCTACTCATGAAGGTGTCAACGGCTCGCAAGGAGAATCCAAATTGGAATTGTTTGGTTTTGACTCTCTCGTTAATATTTTAGGTCTTAAGCGGTAAGAGATACATAAATGCATTCTCTGTCATGTGCTTCCTTCTTTTCCTAAGTGAAGAAGCCTTATTTACCTTTTATTTTGATTGTTTCTTACTTACCTTTTATTTTAAGCATAATCAGAGTTTCCAGTTGCCATATTTGTTGATTTTAATTTTTCTATTTTTTCTAATTGCGTTGGAGGAGAAAAAGGGCGTGGGGGATGTGAAGTTTTTGTAGAAGTTCAGTTTGTTTTTGTCATTTGTTCGGTCCAACTACTTCTGCAAAAAGTTCATTGTTGGCTGTCTAAATCATGCAAGTGTCCTTATGAGGCTTGCTGTTTTAGTATGACAGGGGAGCAGATTCAAGCACCTTCTAGTCCTAGAGATGGTGAAGATGTTTCTGTCACTCTTGAGCGTCCAAAGGTACTTAAGAATTTTCTTAAGCACGTGTTATATCTTCTGTGAACCTTTGTTGTGGGTACTATTGTGTTGGATTTATTTAAATTGTGTTGCTGATAGAACTCATTTCATAATATTGTTCCTCATGTGCATCATTCTTTTTGTAATGCAATTGTCTTATCATTAACACTGAGTTGTCTGTGTCATGATGAGATAATAGGAAAAAAGAAGAAACATGGCAAGGAAAAGAAATGCAATGTAACATTATAGTGGTGAATTTGAGCTCTTGATGTATTATTACGATTAGACTGATCTGAAACTACCAAAGTACCTCATTTTAGTGATTAATTTTTTCGCTTATGCTCCTCCTTGAATTGTTGCATGGACCAGGGCACTCTCTTAATTCAAGATTTTGGTGAATAACCCTCGTCATGTGTGTTTGTACCTCGATTTCAAAGAGTCACCGGAACTTTAGAAACGCAAGAATCTGCCTTATTATACATCATCCTCTCCTAAGACCCTGGGTTTCTGGCTGTGCGTTTTGCCTGTTGGTCAGTAGAAAAATTTTGAGTACCAATCAGACCAAGCTTGTTAGATCCACTTTGTTGGCATTTTCTTTGCTTGTGTATATACTACTTCTACTTAAACGGATCCTAGCGACTAAGAACTAAGGAATAAAAGGGCACTTAGAGAGATTTTCATTGTGTGTTAATATCATGTCAAGCTCCAAAAAACAAAGAAGGAAGTTCAATCTAGTGTTCATTTCCGGAGTAACTGTTATATTGTACATGTGTTTTTGTTGCATTCACTAACTTGTTGCTTATTGCCATCACAGACAGCACGAATTTGTTTTGGTAAATGAAGACAGAATTTTATGGAAATATTAAGGGCTCGTTTGGTAACGTTTTTGTTTTTGTGTTTTCAAAAGACAATAAAACATAGACAATTTTTGTTTTATTTTGTGCTAAACACCAAAAACAAAAAACATGTTTGTGAGTCATTTGTGTTTACCAAATTATGAAAATAAAAATAAAAAACATGTTTGGTAGCTTCTTCAAATTATGTTTGGTAACCCAAACCCACACATAGACCACACCTATACCCACACACAGATCACACCCAAACCCAAACCCAAACCCATACACGATGGAGGCAGCAATGGAGAGAAGGAGAGGCAGCGATGGAGAGAGAGGGGTTGTGATGGAGAGAGGGGCTGCAATGGAGAGAAAGGGCAGCAATGGAGATCTACACACCCACAACAATGGAGGCAACGATGTAGAGAGGGAGAGGCAGCGATGGAGAGAGAGGGGTTGCAATGGAGTACGATGGAGGCAGAGGCAACGATGGAGGTTCGTCTAGTGGTCTGATATAGAGAAAGAAGAGAGGAGAGAGAGAGAAGCCATGGGGAGGAGAGGGGTGATGAAATGAGTTTTTATACTTCACCAAAAAAAAAAAAGCTTTGCTTTGCTGCTAAGAGGACTCGAAGCCAGGATCTCATTAATTCCCCACCCCTTGCACATGTTGTCTTTGTTTCTAGTGTTTCTTGAAACATCATTTTTTTTTTGTTCCCATTTTTTTGGCTTGTCTGCAAGACAATTGAGGTGAAACAAAAACAAAAACAATTACCAAACACGTTTTTTTTTTGGCAAAAATTAAAAACAACGACACAAAACAAGAAACAAAACAACAACCAAACATTCCCTAATTCTTTAAAATGTTTCACCTTTAAGCTGTGATCTCATCTTTAAGACCAATGGTGCTAAAAATGCTAATTATGTTTTAAATGAGTTGGTTTTGTCTTGTTAACGAATTCACAAGAAAGCCGTGTTTCCGGTTTTCACATGCGACGCTAGAAAGCAACAACCATATTGGTAGGAGCCCATGGAATTCGAGCCATTTGATCCAACAATGCATATTTCTTTGCGTTCTTTTTATGGATGTGTTCTCATGATTTACCTTATTATGGACGTCATGGTTTAAAATATAAATCAGAAGCAATCTTTTGCCTCCAGTTTAAAATATAAATCTTTTGCTAGTAAAGTGAGATCTCTAGACTTACTGAAGTTTTTTTAAGTTACCCCAAAAAAAGAGAGATGTCAAGTCTTTTATGTTGAAGCATTGATCATGACTTTTGCGCACCTAGGAAGCATGAATACTTCCCACAGGGTGCCGTGGCAGTGTTGGACACGTGTCCGATATGGACACGGTCAGGACACGTGTCCAACACGGCTAGAAGTATCCTGGATAGTGAACTCAATTGGATACGTTTAGGACACGGCCAAGATACGTCTAGGATACGGCCAAGAATTTTTTTATTAAAAAAAATAACTTTTAACTATTAAAAGGAGGGTGATTTTTACTTTTTAAAATATATTTTTTGTTATGTAACTTATATACTATGAATGTTAATAGATGCAATGATGTTTGATGAAAATAATGGATATTTAATTTAATCTATTTTAATTTTAATCAAAAAAATAATATTTGCTAGGTTTTATTATCAATATTCTTATAATATATGCTTTATTTTTAATATATTACAACTTTATTATTATTTAAAAAATATATAATATTATTTTACTAGCTGTATCTTTACTGTATCCGTGTCCCATATTTTTAACTTTGTCATATCCCCGTGTCCATATTGTATCGGATACGATACCTGTGTCCATATCCGTGCGTACTAGCTATGCACTATCTAATTTTTTTCCCCTTATCATGGGCAGTCAATCTTTAGAGCGCTTTAAGGCTATTTTCTTTTTTATGTTTTAACCATGCAGACTACTGGTGTCCAACTGGGGACAATGATGGGAGTGTTTGTGCCATGCTTGCAAAACATTTTGGGAATTATATACTATATCCGATTTACTTGGTAAGTATCTTATTGCCTGAAGTGTATATTTGGGGTTATTTGCGATTTTTCTTGTTTATTTCAATGCATATGGATAGTGAGCAAGTAAATTGAGCATGTTGTATGTTTCTAATTTATGGCTCCACCCACTAGGAGGTTTGAAAATGGCTATTGCAGGAACTGTGATGATAATTATGTTACTTGTTAATATTTTTTAGAGCATGGTGCTTGACATATTGGGCATGCTTTTTATGGAATCTCAATTTATCTGTGTTATTTGAAAACTTACTATAACATGATGACTGATGAATTTAGAGGCCAACTTAACCGCCCTTCTCATGACACTCAGCTAGTTGAATACTCTTATCTTTCAAGGCATGGGTTATGGTACTCCTGTGAGAACCTAAATGAGAGCATTTGCCATTTGTATAGTTGGTTAGACCAAAATCCTCTCCTCCTCTGTCCTCTCCAACTAAAATAACTATTACTATTGCCATTACTGTAACTTCTCTGTACTGCACCAGCATCGCCTTTTTGGCTGCCCCTATATTTATCATTCAGTTCCTATTCCTCTTTTTTATTAACATTTTGGATCATTAGAAGATCCTCTGTTTAGAATGTTTTGGAGGAGAATTTGATGATGATTCATGATCTACGCAATTTGTTTTGAGTTGCTGATGTTCTCCAAAGACTTTGCTACCTTTGTTTCTCCTCTTTAACTAAAGCACATAGACAAGAAAGAAAGAGAAGCAACAAGGGAGAAGTAAGCCGCTGTAGAGAAGATGGCATCACCTGCTCGACTGTAGACATTCATAGACGCCACTGATCAAAAGTATCCTCATCTAGGCAAAGTAAGGAGAAATAAAAATGAAGGGGTATGACAATAATCCAAGGTGGTGTTGTCAAATGGCACCTTCTCCATGGCTCAGACATGAAGAACACCAAAAAATTTCTTTTAGTGTCTTTTTTGGAACAAAAATAATTGAAGGGAAACAGAAAAAGAAGGTGCTGGCAGTTGTGACACCCATGGAACAAAGAGGTATAAGTTCTTATAGGAAAAATTGTGAGAAAAAGGGTAGAAGCAAAAGCAAAGGTAAATAAGGAAAAGTTTCTGTCTAGGGGAATTAAAGAGCTTGGAAATAACTTCGTGCAAGGTGATGTTGTTAACCCGGCTCATGAGTCAATGGTTAAAAGAAGTTGGACCGTTGATACTTTGGTTATGTTTTCTTGTAAATCTATGTTTGGTTCTCTGGCTGATGCATACACAGTGCTTATGCCCTTTGTGGCGATTGGAAGGCTAGTGCATAGAGGTGCAAATTTGTGGATAGACTATTGCACATGGTAATAAGGTTAATACTAATGACACGCTTTAAAGGAGAAGACCTTATACTTGTCATTCTCCGTAGTGGTGTGTTATGTGTCAGTAATTCGTGGATCACCTAGTCTTACACTGCCCTTCTCTTTTGTCTTTATGGAATAAGTTATTACATGTGGCAGGTTTGAGTTATTACTTTGTCATTCGCCTCTATGTTTTTTGAGGTCTTTAGTGGCTTTGGAAGCACTGAAAGGGAACCACATTGTGGAGTAGTGGGTGACTTGCTATTATGGGTTATTTGGTTGGAACATAGTTACCAGAATCCACTGAACCCTTGGTGAACCGCGATCTAGGTACATCGATCCCACACGGGATGGGTTCATGATTCAAATCACTAAAATGTATGACCCCAAATTGTAATAATACCTCTAAATTAATTTGCTTTAGAATATGTAGCTCAAATTTAAAATACATATTAATTGACTACGTGTATATAGAGTTATAATATTATTGAGGTAAACTACACTAATGACTCTTAAATTATGATCCTTGTGTCAATTAAGCTCTTGAACTAATTTTCGTATACATTGAGCCCCTAAACTCGAAAATTTTAGCAATGAAACCCCTCAATTAATTTTTGTGTCAATTGGGCACCTAAAGTTTAAAATGTTAGCAATTAAGCCCTTATGTCAGCAGTTGTCAGGTTTTTGGACGAAATGTCTCCCGTGCTCATCATATGGACAACAAGTTAAAGGTATTTTAGACTGTTTGTTCAAAACTTAGCAAACGAAGAACCCCATTCCTTGTACCCATCAGTTGAAACCCTAAACCTAAACCTCTTTTAGACCCATTAAATAAAGCAAATCAACAAGATCTTCGATCTGGTGTAGACGACAGGTGACATAGATGTAGGTCTTTTGAAGAGCTTGCTGATTTGCTTTGTTTGATGGTATGAAAGAGGTTTAAGTTTTGGGTTTTGGTTGATGGCATAGGAATGAAGTTATTCGTCTAATTGGTTTTGAATTAATAGCCTAAAATACCCCTAATTTGTTGTCCATGTGGTGATCACGTATGACATTCTATTCAAAAACCTAACAATTGCTAATAGAAGGGCTTAATTGCTATAATGTTAGAGTTTAGGGGCTCAATTGACACGAAAAATAGTTCAAGTGCTTAATTGATAAAATTTACAAATTTAGGGGCTCAATTGACACAAAAATTAGTTTAGGGACTTACTTGACATAAGAGTTATTTGTGTAATTTATTTTATATTATTTTAGATAATAGAAAATCGTACACAAATATAAGATAAATGATAACTGACTTAGTGTTGCTAGATGTTCTATGATATATAAGGCTATATAGTACTGAAAACAATCTAGATAAGAGTTCCAAAATGTATAGGGACCCAAAACATTGTACCAGTTAAGCTTACACTCATCGTATTGCGTACCTAAGAAAGTATTATACCGGTACCACATACCTATACTATGTACCAAAGCAACTTACGATCTAGGTGACATTGGGTTGGAAAGAAACATTAGAATGTCATAATAGATGTGAGTAGAGCATGGGTCATGAGATTGAAGCTACTTCCTAGCATCTTTTTGAGGTTTGGTTAGTAAAGAGTAGGGGTGTCAAAATATAACATGATTCATTAACACGATACGAAATTAGAGAGTTTGATTCTTCCTTAAGTCATTCGTTTCGTAAACGTGTGGACTCGACACAATGATTAATAAACGAATCATGTATGAGTGAAGTCAATCAAAAGAAATATATGACACGACTAGTTTATATACTGGTTATACACGATATGACTCGTTTATATACTGGTGATCCACGACACGAATTCGGTATGACACGACTTGTTAGACATGAATTAATAAACGAATCGGGTGTAGGTGTAGTGTTTTTGTAATATGAACCTGTTAAGACCCGACATAAACTCATTTTATTAGACATGATTGACAGGTCTTCTAAAGAGGATCATAGAACCCGTTTCACTAGAAATGATTGACAAGAATGGAGAGCTTTTCTCCTTTCTCCCCTACTCTTTTGTCTTAAGAACTCTAATTTTAAGAATGAGTGATTGCCCTTGCTGCCCAACCTGAGAGCGGGCAACTAATGCTTTCCACTTATTGAACAGGGTTCTATGATCGGTCCATGACCCTTGGATGCCGAAAGCGTCCTTGGGGTGATCTCTTAGTTTCTATGGGGTGGAGATTATGGTATGTTTCCACAAATAATTGAAATTCAATTTCTTGATCGGTATCTTCAATTTTTGGAAACTTATATCATTCTTTTGTCAAAACCTAATCAATGAACTTACAAAATCCTTCAAATTGTATATGATTAAACCCAGTCATTGTAGACATTCCCTCATTTCCATCCTGACGCATTTTTTAATTTACGAGTTTGATGTCGATAAATCCGTGAATCTAGAAATTCATTTCGGACCATTGAACTTTCTCGAACTGTTTCTTTTTAAGAACCAAAAAAGATTTGTGCCAAAATAACAGATGACAAGAAGAACAAAATGCATTGGACACGTAATGGATCTTCCACTGGTGTTCCAAAAGTACTTTTTGAAGTCCTGGGGAGGAAGATGCACCTTGAATTGACGTATAGTGTGACTTGTCAGAAATATTGAATCATATGGGATTTTCCCTTTATCTCCTTTGATCGAGATATCCTTGGTTTTGCCCAAGAAAGAATAATTGAATCATAAAAAATTTGGAATGTGAGGTACTATTAAATCAAATCCATTTTGGGGAGGGGGGATTTAGATTACTATTATCAATTAGAATGATTTATGATTGAGTTTGTTGGGCTAATAAAATGAAGTATCCAGGCTCCATTTAGAAAAAACCCAATTGAAATGGTTTGTGTGATTTTTAGTTTGAAATCTTTTGGATTTCTACTTCATCATTTTAGGTTGACCAACTTGTCCACCACCTTTATTTTAATCTTACAGAAGACAAAAATAAAAAAAGATAGAATGAAAGATTTTTTTCCAAATTTTTTTTTTTTGGGGTGATGTTAAGGCTTGGAGAAATGTATATATATATCTTTTTTTTTTTTTTTTTGCGTTTGATTTGTGAGGTGTGAGAGCTTGTTTTTGTGTATGTGACATTAAGCTAGGTGCTTGAATGTTACTTGACAATGAATTTTTGGGTGTGTTTGGGATGATGCACTTTTTATAAAACTCTTATGAATGACACTTTTTTTTTTCCTGATGAGGTTGGTGTTGTTGTGCAAAGCCATTACAAAATTATATTTGTTGCAAGTAGATTATTGATGAATTTTACTTTTAGTGCAAGCCCTGTATTTATATAGACTAGCAATGCACCACGTGCGCTGCACATGGATAATTTTCATATACAAAATTTAATAAAACATATTAAGTATATATGTATCTGAATTAAATATCATCTCAAATTTATCAAACTTAATTTTCATTGCTCATACTCTATTTATAAGACTATGAAAACTTTATATGTTCTCAAAATTCTTTATTCTAACTATAAAAAAGATAGTCAAAGATCTATTTTTGTAGAATTTAAAGATTTATTTTTGTAGAATTTTGTGATTGAGATTAATATTTTTAGTGATGTTTGAGAAATTAATATTTTTTTTTTTTGAAATTCAATTGATTAGGACTTCACTTATAATTCCTTAAATAAAATAAAAGTAATTGTCAATATACTAATCACATTAGAACTTTACTGTAATTAGAAATTAGTTAGTAAAATTCAGATAAGATTTAATATACTACTCTATAATATATATTTTCAAGCATATTAAAATTCAAAAAAATTCAAGTTTTACTAAAAAAATATACTACAATATTTATTTTTATGTAAAATCTTAGTACAACTTAGAAAATTTATTGTGATTGTAGAATTATATTGATGTAACATAAGTTGATTTTAAAAAAACTATATATATTATTATTTTTTTATCTTAAAAATGAAAGGGTTAAAATTTTCGATTAAAAAGAAAATACACATATGTAAGTATGATGTTATCTTTGTATATGAGATGAGTAATATTAGATAGATAGAGTTTTTGAAGGTTTTTTGAACACTTTATTAAAAATATAATGATGCATATTTTTTTTAAAGGTAATATAATCAATCAAAAAAGTTTTATAGAAATTGATATTTATACATAGAGAATAAATAATTAAAAGAGATGCTATAGATAATTTGAAGATTTAAATATATAAGGATATGATAGTAATTTAAATATTTAATTATGAACAGATAGAGTGGTATTTGCAATCTTTTATAGGGGTAAAATAGAGATTCAAAATTTTTTCATCTTAAAACACTTTTATTAGTAGTATAGATTTTGAAGCTAAGGTATCTGAGTGATCATAGAAAAATATGTAAAATGAATTGGTTGCAGTGGAAGCAATTTGATTAGTTGAATGCTAATCCTTTTGGGGGGCAAGGAAAATTCGAGGATAAAATGGGCTTTTGATATTCATATGTATCATCTAGGAAGCACGAACACTTAATTTTGGCTACAGTGTTGGTGTCGAACATGTCTGGGACATGGATACGCTTCGGACATACTAAAATGAGTGTTTGATTTTTTTATTGTTAAATTTTTTTCATGACACATTGAGAACACGCAAAGGACACTCTTAGGACGCTTTAAGGGACATGCGACCAACATGTTGGGGGCACGTGGAGCACACGTTTTAAGTTTTTTTTTTTATTTTTAAAAACTTTTTAGACAATTTTATAATTAAGGGAGTTATTTTTAAAATTTTAAAGAGATATTAGTCAAAGCCATAATATAAAATGAGTTATACTCACTACATTAAACATAAGACATTTGTTCAAAAAATAAAATAAAATAGGGGGTTGATGTAACATAATTTCAGATAAACTACGAACATGTATGCAAATTGAATAAACTTTTAATATGAAATTAGTATTAGGAAAAATGGAGTTACAAAATTGAGACTCTTTGAAATTGATGAAAATTAGTGTTACGAAGTGGAATATTTTTGAAAATGAAAATTGCAATAGTCATTGATTATTGGATCATAAATGTTAATGATGTATTGACATATCTTATATTGTATTTTTGATGCGGTGATATCATGACGTAAATTTTTAAAATTCAGAAATGATGTATTAAGAGATGATTATGATGATATTTTTATTTTATCGCATGATATTATATATATATATATATTATTTAACTTGTCTCCAACGTGTCTGTGTCCTACTTTTTTGAAAAAATTCATGTTTTCGTGTTGGCGTGTCCATGTTCTGTCGTCTCTGTGTCCGTGCTTTTAGTGTATCATTCCTGGTGGGATGAGATATAGGATCATTTGGTGGTATACATATTAATTGGTTTAGTATTAGCTTAGATTGTATATATTCTGAGGGTTGTATATTTGTTCCATCTTTTCTACTAACCTCTTATTCTAAATTATCTTAGCCTAGGCAGAATGAATAATCGAAGACGAACTCAATTTCTTTATTTCCTTTCTTTTTCCTTCTCATGTGAGCTAGATTGGGTATATTTTGACCAAATTCCTTTTTCTTTGTAATTTTGTAAAATGCAGGATTGTTGGTATGGCTGGCATAGGTGAGTCACTGGTGCTAGTGGCCTTCTGTGGCTCATGTACTTTTCTGACTTCTATATCATTGAGCGCTATTGCAACTAATGGTGCGATGAAGGTACACAAGACTTTTGTTTCTCGTTTTGCTAGTTTGATTGTCTTCTCTACAATGGGGTGATTCTTTTCAATCAAGAATTAAGATATAGGAAGGTGGTGCCCCCTGTTCTAGTTGCCAGGTGCTTTCCATTAATGGATGCCATTTTTTGTCATTTCTTTTATAAAAGAAAAATATTGATAAGAAGAAAAGAGAGAACAAAGGTACAACATGGATGACAAGAAAGAGAGAGATCAGAATTGAAAAAATTGAAGAAAAGGAACCCTAAAAGAGGTTGCCTTCCAATCCTGTTGAAAATTTGACAAAAACGTCCATTTAAAAATCCTTATCAACATGGTACATAAAAAAGAAAGGAACACAAATCTATTCGAGTTGGAGTGTAATAGAAGAGAATGATCGTAAAAATTTCTTGCATTCATTTTTAAGGGTCCCTTGTTTAGAAAGGAAAGAATAATGGAAAATGAATTGGTATAAAGTGAAGTAAAAGAAAGGGAAAAAATATGTGCTCTTACATAAGGAAAAAAATGTGCTCTTGCATGAATTTGGTTAGGCTGAAAAGTTTAATTGGAAATTTCATTTTATAAGTTGCGTACATCTGCACCTCCCTAGACCCCATAAGAGCCTCATGCACTGCCTCCCCTTTTTTCTTAATTGTGAAAGGCATGAAATTTATAGAAAGAATCTTTATAATTGTTTAAATTGTCCTTATCCATAGTAAACTAAGATACTATTGGAAAGTAAATCCTAAAATCTGAACACTAAATTAAGAATATAAATGCTGAATATAATATATTGAAGAATTTTTTATCTAAAAAACTGTTTGTTAATTCGAAAAACCTTACGATGCATGGTTTAATTGAATTGTATGATAGAAATAAAAGTCGAGGTCTTAATAATGTTCTTATGTACACCTTTACCATTTTACTTTTACATAAAAAGTAAATGAAGATGTAAAGTCTTGTGCCACTAACTGATGTAATGCCTGACATATTCATTAAACTGATTAAAGATTAATAAATACAAGTTATTTCTACGACCTATGTACAACGTTCTGGGCAAATTATTTATTCTTTTAATTAACCAACTTTTCCTCCCATTATGTAAATTTAGCTATGGAAGCTTAAAATAACTGTCTGACTCATATAACCAGTATAAATAGCAAAACCAATGGCGACTATATTGTCATTTCAAGTGGAACACTTTTACAAACAAATGCAGTGTAGAGGATTGGGATCACTAAGGTTTGGTACATGGAACATTAATGGTGGAGTTGAACTCGAAACCTTTTATTGTTACTTGTAATGTTATTCAAATATAAGGAAAGAAAATAGTTTCAAGTGAAGGCTGTTCATGGAGGGTTGTAGTCTCAAAGGATTCTAAAGAAGCTTTATTGAGTATGCATTTTGCTTCTTCATGTAATCTCTGGGCTTTGTTCTTTTACCTAGTTGGTTTCGAGACTACCGTTTTTGGCAACTTCGACTACAGCGATGCCCTTGAAAAAGGCTAGATGCTTTTCAATGCTTTCATGAGTTTTTGCATTTGTATAGCCATAGAGTTTAGAGGGCTCATCCGAGTTTCTTTTGTATGAAGTACTCTGGTTAGGTAAAGGGCATTGAGAGGGAGCATTGTAAAGGTAAGTGGTTTTCAGAAGAAGCGGAGAGTAGCCCACTTAACCGTGGGCAAAATGGTCAGTGGACCAAACGTTCACAGCCAAAAAAAAAAAATTTTCCTATGTAATTTGTAGGAAATGATTCTCTCATTGTGGGAAAATTCGGGAGAAGTTGGAACCATATTTCATGCTAAAAAAATAGATAAAAGGTTTGATTTTTATTTCTAGAAGTATCCTAACTAAGGACACTTAAGAATTCCCATCGACCCACAATTTTGATCAAATTTAGCATCATGAGGAAGAATGATAGTGGATCGAGGCGGGGATAAGTAGTCTCCACCCTTGTACTCGCTTAAAAAAGTCCGTCCATCCATCACCTGTCTACCTCCGTTAATGGAGTTAGTTTTAATCCCCGCCCCCATCCTGCCCATAACAACTAGTTTATGTAATTTTAAGAAAAAAATTTGAAAAAAAAAATCATAACAATTAAAGTACACTGATATGATCAAAATCAAAGACGAATAAATAAGTTAACAAAAGTTCATGACTCAAGAAATAAAAACCATCAATATTGCCATCCAGGGGAGGCAACATGTGCAGAGAGAGACGGAACATACAACATCATGACATGATTAATTCAAAAATAACAGCAATACTAATAAGATTAAAAGTTTGTCTACAATATAATCTAACATAATTCGCAATAATAACATTCTAAATAATATCATAACACGAACAATAAAGATCCAATCCTAATAGGCTTCATGTAAAGTAGAAACTTTTCTTCCATCTAGCTTCACACCTGTAAAGTTATCAAATCTACTGAAGTTTTGATTCTATTTATATATCATACACAAGAAGGATTCAATTCCCACTTGTGCAGACATAGTGGCTTTGGCTGCTAGTGATGCAGTGGTCTTGGTAAGTATTTTTGTTTATCTCTTTGATTTTTTCCGTGGATATAAATTATAGTTCAAGATATGTTCGAAGACTTCCCGAGTTACACAATAAAATGAGTTATTTAGAATTCAAAACAACCTCGGAAGAAAATTTGTGTTATAATTCTTTTTGCTATGTAGCGTATTAGTATTCTTATACAACATAAAGATCAATTGGATTTTTGTGTATAAATATCTGTCAGTGAGTTTTATGGTTCTGATTTGGGCTATATGGGACAGGCCCATGGACCATCTTACGAGGTTCAAACTGGACGGAGAGAATATTGTGGATCTGTAACCCACCCACTCACTCACACACACTGAAAATACATGCATGCGTGCGTGGATTACAGATCCGGAACAATAATGAAAACTGGATGAAGAAAAATAATTGGCCTCTTGAACAAAAATACAAGCACAGTGTGTTGTATGTTAGATCGATCATGCGAGAGAGAGAGAGAGAGAGAGAGAAGGTAGGTGCCGAAGGTAGGAGAGAGAGAGAGAGAGAAAGAGGAGCTGAGGAGGCGTTACCTTCTTACCTGGTCAGCTAGAGAGAGAGAAGGCAGCGGAAGCGGCTGGTTTGGAGTATCTGGACGAATTGAATTAGGGCTGTCTGGCTGAGTATGTATATACACTTAAATTTAATGGGTTTAGCAGGGCGGTGAATGAATAAATAAGCAAATTGTTCTGTAGACCCATATTAAACATATTAAAAGAACAGTAAATGAATAAATAAGCATTCGAATCTCCATTCCTCAAACAAGTTGAGTAAATATCAAGAATCAAAACTTTGCGCGACTGTCTCACTTTTTACAAATTGGTAGGTTCATCTTGTTGAGGATAATGGACCAGACAAATGCCTCGATTTTCAAGGGCACTTTTGCTTTCCATATGAATTCATCTAAATAATAGGAAAGAGTATTCTTGGAGCTTGCAAGATAGGAGCAAAAATGTAAAAATATTTACAAGAAAAGTTATTAGAGTTATCCAAAGTCCAAAGCCTTTGAACAATAGAAGAAGTAAGATGAAGTTCCAAGAGTATCAAGCAAAGAAACTAGATCCTATGTTTCTCTATCATTAAGGAAATGAGAATCCTAAGAATAGGAATCCTCCCCCCATAACAGGAAAACGAGAAATAGTAGGAAAGATAATAAAGACGTGGAGAAATAGTAGTAAGCGCTAAATGACCTTTCCAAATATCCTCTCAAAAGACGAATTTTAAAACTACTTCCAACCTTACAAGAAATCAGAAGAAGAAAAGAATGATATACATGTGAGATGAATTTTTAAAATATATTACTTTTTTTTAGAAGGCCCAACAAAGATTCTTTAACCTTGTATTTGAAGGAGATCACTTATTAGTTGGTGAAGTGAATGAGTGGCTAGTTGATAACCCACTCACCCGAAACTCTTAAATTTCCAACACTCTACATGGTAAAGTTTTCTATCGGTGTGCTCAATTTAGTGGTTGTTAGGGGAAAAGGGTTATCTTGATTCTTTTCTTAATTATGTCAACCTACACAAGCAGTAATATGGTAAAATTAAATGTCAGGGGCGCTTAAGTTAGTGGTTTAGAGGGAAAATGGTTTATCTTGTTTCTTTCCTTAATTATGTATTCTATGAGAAAAAAATGTACCAAATTTCAACGAATAAGATATTATAGGATGATCTTTTTGGAGAAGAATTAAGGAAGTGGACCTAACATAACACAAGTTTCATGTTTCTTAGATGTATAGTTCTGTGAAAGGGTTACATGAAGAAGCCAAGATCCTTTGTGTTTTGGAATGAACGCCCAAAACGTCGTACTTCGTGATTCCAAGAGACTAGTAGTGGTCCAAACTTCGTATTTCTGTTTCCTTTTGTGGTTTTGTCTTTGCAAGAAGGAAGACAAAAGATGGTAATTTGAAATCTATGATTATAAATATTTTCAGCGGAGTTTAAGAAAATGGCTATAAATTACCCGTCAATGCACCTTCTGCATGTTAGTGTGTAACAATGACGTAGGTATTGATCTACTTTTTTGATCTGTCTACTGTACTTGTAGGGTGGGGGACCTTATTATCTCATTGGTCGTGCACTGGGTCCAGAGGTTGGAGTCAGCATTGGATTATGTTTTTTCTTAGGGAATGCAGTCGCTGGAGCTCTGTGAGTATATGTTTGAACTTATTCTTTTATGATGACAAGGCTGACTGGACCTCTTAGAGCATCTAACTAATCCCTTGGTCATGACCTTCCCCACAAGAACCATGGACCAGGTGACACAGACTGAATTTCGTGTGAATATCCTCAAGGGGAGACCCAAATTCAAAATCTCTATCATTTTGAAGTTAGGAGCCTACCCATCTTGTTTACTCCTTGTGATTTTCTGAAAGTATGCTTACTAAACATTTATTACATGGGTGCACAAGGAGATGGAGAAGTGGATTAACTGTTGTTCTTTTTCTTTTTTTTTTTATCTTTTTCTGACAATGATTATGATAAATTGTGTACCAGCACTATTGTCCTCATTTTTTTTTTTTTTGGCTTGTGATTAAGTTATGTACTAGGAGCTGTAGAGACCTTTCTAAATGCTGTGCCAAGCGCTGGGATTTTTAGAGGTAATGTCTGAGAAATTTCTTCAGTTACATTCAGATTTTATCAGAACTTAGACAAATTATATGTTGCAGCAGTCTTATTAAGGATCCTGTGGATATATGGTATACCTTTGGTTGAATTTGATGAATAGAATGTTTAGGTTAACTATATATTTTCCTTGGTGTCTGCAATTTTGCAGTATTACATTGTAGAATAACTCCATCTATTTGTTGATTGCAGCTTTAGTATATTTATAGGCATTAGACCACTGTAGTGCACTCTAATTTGAATATTCTTTTATGTAAACTTTTGTTGATGCTGAGGAGAACAACCACATTAGCTTCCTTATTTGGTTGCACAAGTCTTATAGTTACAGTCTTTGATTATGTTAAATTTTGATGTTATCTTGTAATGATGCCTCGTGCTGGTTATACTTCGGGCCTCTCTCTCCCTTCTCCTCTCTTCTCGATGAGTATAAAGGTTGGTCTGAATGAATTGTCTGGTTGTCTTGTTCAAAAAAAAAAAATTCTGGTTATCATTGGTTGTTGGGTATTACATTGAATTACTGTTAAAGATGTAAAATGTGTTCTTTTATCAGCAAATTTGATTTTTTTCCCTCCATCTCATCAATGTAGAGACTGTCACGAAGGTTAATGGCACGGCAGTTGCAGAGCCCATTTCAAGTCCAAGTTTGCATGACCTGCAAATTTATGGAATTGTTGTAACCATCATTTTATGTTTCATTGTTTTTGGCGGCGTGAAAATTATCAATCGTGTTGCACCTGCCTTTCTTGTACCCGTTCTATTTTCATTGTTCTCGATCTTTATCGGGATACTTCTGGCAAGGAAGGATCATCCAGCAGGTGGGTGTACGCTTCACTTTTTTTTATTCTTTTAATCTTTTATCAAGTTAAAGCATATTTCATCAATGGTGTGCTAATTCAGGTCACACTTTTCATAGTAGGCATGGGAGAATGAGTAACCATTGTTCAGAGAAAAGTGGGTCCTAGGACCAATATTTCAATATCGTTTTAGAATTGTATGTCAAAATGTTTGTTCCAATGGTAGCTCCCAAACTGATGTGCATCTTGTAGGATTTTATTGTTTTTATTTGGTTGAGAAAGAGAAAATGCTACAAATTGTTATAAAATGGTAGAATAACCTCTCTCCTTTATGACATGAGTCTAGATGAGTGTGCTTCGACCATAGTTATTAATATCGTACGATACGTGATACATATCGTACGATATGTGATGATACACCTGAAAAACAAGATGTATCGTGTCTCTGTATCGTTTTTGTACCGTATCGTACGATACACGATACAATACGATACGTCCGATATATATAATACGTAAAGATTCTGTTTTTTATTTATGTTTTTTGGTTTTTTAGAGCTGAAATGACATTATTTCACCCAAGGACTTATTTTTTAAATCACTAGCTAGTGAAATAACGTTGTTTCAGTGGTTATGGTTTTAAAAAAGAAATAAAGTCTGTTGTTTAACTGAATTCAAAATTTTTGATTAATATTGAGGTTGTTGAAGTAGTTGATGTTAGAAATTTGAATTAGAGGTCTTTACATTGTGATATTACTGAACTATGTTGGGAACTTAAATAGTTGATGGAATATTAATGAAATGTTATGTTATTATGAGTCTATGACTTTTTTACAAAGGTATATATATATTTTATTAATAATTATTTAAAATTGCGTATATTTTACGATATACGATACGATATACTATTTTTGAAAAATGATATACCTTCCAATACGCGATTTGACAATTATGGCCTCGACCAATTGAGAGCGCCTCTGGTGCTTTTTAGTACATAGACATGAACAAACCTATGTTTGTCTATGATTTGCTTAGTTGTTGTGGGCATTATAGGTTTGCCATTATTATTTGGCACCTCCCTCTTTTGTACTTAGAATAGAGATGTAGTTTGATATATCAGTCTTATCCGTGTTAAGTCCATATCTCTTTGCCTTAGAATTGACTATACGCATCCATGATGGGGTTCCATGGTGTATATTATTTGCCAATGATTATAGTATTGTTTGATGAAAACAAAAATAGGCATTAACAATAAACTAGAAGTTTCGAGAGAAACTTTAGAATCAAAATGATTTAGGTTAAGTAGAAATAAAACTGAATTTATGTAATGTGGTTTTAGCAGTAGCAGAAATTCAATTAGTGAGGTAGTAAAGATCAAAGATCAAGAGATATCCAATAGCGAACACTTTCAACATTTGGGGTCAATTTTCCATAGGGAGGGGGAGATTGGAGACCTATTAAAGTAGGATGGTCTAGGTGGAGGAATGCATCTGGCGTATTATGTGATCGACGACGTGTACCTCTTAGGTTGAAAGATAACTTTTATTAGACAGACAATACTCTATGGTACAAAATGTTGGGCAGTTAAGAAACAACATGCTCAAAAACTAAGTGTACGATGGATGTGTGGTAAAACGAGAAAGGATAGCTGTAACAGTAGCACCAATAGGAGAAAAATTAAGAGAGAATCGATTTTAACTGGTTTGTACATATTTGTAGAAAATCTCGTAATCCACTAGCGGGGAAGAGTGATTTACATATCGATGGTAATGCGAGAGGTAGAGATATGCTTAAAATAATTTTGAATGAAATATATATATATAACGGAAAATCATGATACTTGATAGAGCACGATGGAGAAATATGGTTCATGCAGTTACCCAAAATAATTGGGATTAAGGCTTTGTTGAGTTGAGATAAGCCTCTCTCAAGCAAAGGTTGTCTCCACCTTTCTCTCAAATTATAGCCTTTTTAAATCTCTCGTATGCTTTCCTAAAAAATAACATAGATTCCGGGATCGTAAAAACTCCTAAGTGTCCCATAAATTAGGGTTGCATGTCCCGAAATAGGGTTAATTTGCGATCCAAATCTCTCAAATCCTTGACACAAATTGTAGCTCAAACCCCAAATTGACTCATAACCCAAGTAATCCCAGAAGTAACCCTAACTTATTATTTAGGTATTTTGGTGGTCTTTAAAGTTATATTTTAAATTGTTGTGCCTTGAATGTGTTTACACTAAAATTACTAACTTTTATTAGTTACGATCATTTTTTTATCTGTTGTCTTTGATTATGATTCTCTTTGAAACTCTTATCCCAAATAAGAAATAATTATTAGTTTACTATTTATATATGAATGTATAATTACACATAGTTTCATCCAATAGTGAAAGTGATCCAGATAAGACATACAAAATGAACTCAAACTCAAAACAATGTATCAACCAAGCTTACCCCTGTTACACTGCATATTGGAAGAAGTGTCATATAGTGTATTTGAACATCCATGATCCAAATAACATTGGAAGAAAGTTATTAGGGTGTTTACAAGAATTGAAAGTCCTAATGATTTATGGTGGTCTCCTATATATTAAGATTAGGCTTTGTGCTATAGTTTACTGTTGATAAAGCTTTGAGTAAAGATGAAGCAAAATCATTTACAGAAAGAGAAGCCTTGTTTATCTCTGAGTAGGTTAAAATATTGATGGTGCTACTCTTTCCCTTTATTTCAGATTCTATTTTAGGTTATTATCTGATTGTTTCTGAGCCTAATGAGACTTTTTATTGCTTGTGTTGGTAAAATTTCCTAAAAGTCACCATTCTTTGAGCCTGCCTCTTAGTGCACATGGCATTGTTGGTAATGGGTAATTACATCAGGTAACATGAATCCTAGGAAATACAGCTGGTAACTTTTTCTTCTATTGTGTGATTTAAAGGTTTGATAGATAAATTTTCCTGATAGAGTTATTCGCTCTTCTAGCATTGTTTGTTGATCCTACTTTTAGTCCAGAGGATTTAGCAGTAGAAGGTAAAGGTCTCATCATTGTGTCTTTGTTGTTCTTTGTAGAGTCTCCTTGACCAGTAAATTATGTTTTTTCAGTTTTTTAGTTTTTTCAAATTTGAATGGAAAATAAATATCTTTTTGTTTAATTGACTCTATTCTATGATCATTTTTCCCTTGGCTTTTCCTGTATTTTTACTGCTTTGGGGCTTTTTCCTGCTACTTTTGTTTTGTAACCATAATGTTCAATTTTCAAAGACCCAATGAGTGACTGGTTTCTCTGTAGCACACGTGCTTCTATGACAGAATTATATCATTATTTGATAGGAAACATGGGTCCTTTGAGAACATCCGATAATGTTGGAACAATATTTGATAGGAAATATTTCTGGATTACTCTTGCGAACATGTGCAACAGACATATCCACAATTCCTCAGATTGAATATCTTAATTGAAAAATTGGGTGTAATACTTCTCCAATACTTTTGGACACACCCTCATATCTGACATGCCTTGAACTTTGATATGCCACACTTATAATGTAGTATTAGGCCTGGTTGAATTGGATCTTTTGCCTTGAACTCTAGAGACATGCAAAATCTTAGATTTGAGCATTTTTTAATACTTACAGGGTAGTCGATATATTTTCATATTTCTCATTTAATTAAAATTTCCCTTCCATATTTACAAAGATAGGTTTCTTGCTTGGAAATACTTTTAGTGAATTTGGTTATAGAAATGGAGCAACATTTTTCTTAAACTCAGCATGCTTAGCTGTGTGACCTTGATTGAAGGAAAGCTAAAATCCTTGAGGCAAACAAAACAGGGAAGGGCAGCCACGACGTACAGACAATGCCTAGTTAAGGCTTATATTGGCACAACCCTCATAGCACTGCACAGTAGCTGGATCAGCACTAGCTAATGTCTAAAGCAAGATAGGGAAGCAGAGTATAGGCCATAAGGTGCATTTCTTAAACTTCCTTTAGGCTTGTAACCAAGGAATTCAAAGGTACAATTTTAGAGGATGCTTCATTTCCTGCTTAAAGGAAACTCTGTAACCATGTAAACAATAACACGAGCCCATGAAACTTGGAAAGTCATTCCATTCAAGTAGGACCCAGTAGCACGTATCCATAATATTAAAAACCTATTCCGACTGCGAGAACTGTGACAGAAGAAGAGCTAACCTGGGTAACTAATTATAAAAAAAAAAGTCAAAATAAAAGATATACAGTTGTAACAAGATTCAACTTCAACACTATCTTTTGTATACCTTTTGTTTCCGCTGGTTCTTAGAGTCATACGTTGAAATATAAGAAAGCTGTTTGCTTCCCTCTTATTTTCAAGAAGTCCTATGTATGGATTGTGGTTTTGTATCACCCGGGGCCTAGGCAGTGGTTTTACACTCTGCTTTGAAATAGTTTTGCAATTAAGAGGTGGAGATTTTCATCCCTTGATGGTTCTTTGTGAAGTATACTCAGTGAATCTAATTATTGGCTGATTGAGGAGATTCTGCAGTATTCGTGCATCGGTTGAGGGAGACGTATTGGTCCTTGGCACTCTGTTTATTTGAAACAGAAGTCTGAGATTTATTTTACATTTTAGTAGCAGACATTTTGTGGACACCTTGATGGGATACCTAGACTTATTTTGCATTTGCATTTATTGTCATGGATTGTCGGCTGTAATTTTTTATATTAAAATATGAATAGATCTCTGCTCATTTGTATATTGAGGGAATATTAAAGACTATTCTCTCCTTCAATGCTTGATGCAGATGGGATCACTGGCGTTAGTTTGAAATCCTTTAAAGAAAATTGGAGTTCTGATTATCAAACAACTAACAATGCTGGGATACCTGATCCAGAGGGAAAAATATACTGGAATTTCAAGTAAGGCCTGCTGATATGTCTTTCTTTCCCTGTTTGGCCTTTTCTGGTCCTCCCCTTTTCCTTATTATTAAGAAAGATTCTATCTGGCTTCTTCCATATGGACTCCTCTTTCCCAACCCCTTTCTCTCTGTCATCTTTGTCAATTGTCCCATTTCTAATAAGATAAAAATTCATGCTAGTGTTTGCTTTGGTCTTTTTAACATGTCGTAGGTGGAGTATACTTTTTTTTTCTTTTTCTTTTTCAATCTTAAGTAGTAGTTATTTGAATTGAACCATTATGCTTGCTTCTCAGTATGGCAACATTAACCACTAGGCCAAGGCAGTATAGGCTTAGTTTGTGGTGTTTGTTAAACTATTTTGTTTTGTGAAGTTTCTTGCATTTTATTTTCCTGGTTGAATCAGTTATATATGACATAGTTTAACAGAATTATCCATGGAATGTACTTCATCCTTGTTTGTCACACCCCCAATTCGGGAGGTTATAAATTTAATAATGGGCCATTTGTGGTTGGTTTATATGGTTAAGAGCTCCCACACTCATTGCCAATTGATTTGGAACTTTAAATCTGGAATAGTCGAGCAATAAAATTCATGGCAGCTCTGGATAGAAATTTCCCCTTCTCTTTGTTAGTTATCCAAGAATTGGTAGTCTTATTCACAGCTCAGTAGAGAAACTAACATGCAGAAAATTTATTGTATAGACAAATATGTATAATGTGACCAAGGATCAAAATTTCGTTTCGAAGTACCGTTTCGGTCAACTCAAAAATAGAAACGTTTCGGAAACATTTTGGAAACGCAATGGAAACGCAGAAAAAATATGGAAACGCATAGAAACACAAATGCAATCCATTAATTTATAAAGATATGCTAAATAATTTATTAATTCAACATATTTATTAGGTTAACATCAATTTATACAAGAATAAATTTAAATTTGAGGGAAAAAAAGGCTTGACTTGAGGCGAAAGTCACTTAAATTAGTTTCAAACACTTAATTTTTATGAAATAAACACATTTTTACATAATATTAAGGTCTTATAATACACATGAAATGCTAATGAGTACATACTTACATGGTTACATCCATTCCCCTGTGGAGTGTCGAGCAGGCTCATACATCGGTGTAGGCTCTGGGTAGCTACTTAGAGAAACTCCATATGTGACATAAATATGATGATAATAGTTACTCCAAATCATATTATTACGGTAATATAATCCAATTAATAATACTATTTTATTATAATACTAATAATTAAGGGTATCAAATTAAATTAATGATACTTATGTATACTTAAAAATTAAATGTAATTGCAGTGGGTATTAAATGTAATTACAGTAGGTATTAAATATAATTACATTAGGGTATTAAATGTAATTGTTAATACTTATAACAAAAAAAAAAAAGCAAAAAACTTGCACAACAATGAGGTATTAAATATAATTACAGTATGTATTAAATATAATTATAATGGGTATTAAATATAATTATAGTAGGGTATTAAGTGTAATTATTTATTCTTATAACAAAAAAATTATAAAAGACAGAAGAGCAGTGAGAATTAAATGTAATTATAGTGGGATATTAAATATAATTATAGTGAGTATTAAATGTAATTACAGTGGGTATTAAATGTAATTATAATGGGTATTAAATGTAATTATTCATAATGAACCGAATATATCACTGTTTTGTCGAAACGGTTCGAAACAATGCCGTTTCGACCGAAACGGTCCGAAACAGTACCGTTTCGACCGAAACACTGGAATTTTGTGATTCAACTACTGTTTCGTTTCGGAGTGTTGAAATTCCGAAACGTTTCGGACGTTTCGGACGTGTCGACACGATATTTTGATCCTTGAATGTGACAAGTCAACTATGTGGGGGATGAGTTGATTTTTTGTTTTATTGCAATTTGCTGATTTTTCTGTGTCTGTGATTGGACTCCTCAACCTCTTTGTACCCTTTTATCTCATTAATAAAAGGTTTGATTCATATAAAATAAATTGTCTAACCATAATGAAATTCCCACACAATCCACATGTCTGCATATCAATGCCATTCCATGAAATATGGGATTCACAATCATTGCAGGATATTGGATTCAACATAACCCTCACTTTCAGATATCAAAAACATTCACCTAGAGTGACAAATGGAACACCTATGCCGCTTCTACATACTCTCGCTCGGGGCATGGCGACATCCCCTGGTTTTAGTTATTTTCAACCAGGAACCCGAGTAAAGATTCGCCTCATAGACGCTGACAAAACCTCAGCCGTGTTTGATCTCTTTCATCCGTAGTGTCGTAATCCCTGCATGCTTTTAGAACAGTTTCCATGGATATCGTGGAGAGTGTATATTTCACACAATCTCATTCCCCATCCATAACATCAGCATGTACAGGTTCTCACGCTTTGAACATCACCCGGCATGTGAAAAACATACATTTACGAAATATACTCAAAGTCAAGGCAAATTAAGCAACATTATTGGAATACACAAATGGGAGCGACTTGAATTGGAGTTTGCAGACCGTAGTATCCTTGTGGGAGGAGCCGCTTGCCATATAGTGAAGTTAATTCCTTATTCCAGGGAGGCCTACCATAGAGGTTACGTAGATGTTAGAAACCTAGGGTTGACCACCCCTGTTCGCACCTGGAAGTCGCAGTCCCCATGCTAGATCTCATAAAGGTTATGGAGCCATGCAAGAATGTTTCACCTGTCCCCATGCTAGATCTGCATTTTTACAAGTCAAATGAAGAGAAAATGGCTTCTTTTCTTTATATAGTGTCTAGTTTGTGAAATTCAACCCATTACCCAAACTTATTGAATAATAAATGTACGCTGTGAATAAACAAGAGAATGCCAACTAAAATTACACAATTAACTGATGTAAACAGGTCAGAAAAAATAAGACCAGAAAACTAGACAATGAACTGGACTGTACCTTACGAAAGCCGGACACTCGCTTTTTACAAAGTCTAAGAAAATTGTAATGCAGTGGGAACCAAATGACTCCCCTTGGAATTCCCTTCGACTGGTTCTGAGGACTTGGAAAAATGCAACACTACTAACTCCAGATGGAAACCGGATGAGTGGTTTCTGTGAAGTTCATTATCACCATTATTGTTGTTGTTATCAAAATCATCATCATCATCATCAACTTGCCTACCCCAAGATTCAGCTTTCTTGATTTGAACCATAATTTTATTATATAGTGTATTCTGACTTGGTGATTCCAAATCCACAGAACCTTTAGGCATTGAAGAGTCACTCGGGATAAAATATTGAAAATTTATGTAGTGTAATTATAAGATATCTCCATTTTTCTAGCTTTTCTGTGTTTGTGTTGTTATGTGTCAGCCTAGTATTCCTCTGAAGTATGCTAAGCTATTGTTTTGCAAATTGGTTGCTTTAATGATTTTTTAACTCTCCAAAATTTTTTATTGTCAGTGCATTGGTAGGTCTCTTTTTCCCTGCTGTAACAGGGATTATGGCAGGTTCAAATCGCTCCGCTTCACTGAAAGACACCCAGCGTTCTATCCCGATTGGAACAGTAGCTGCAACGCTTACAACTTCTGCTCTGTATGTATTTTCCGTAATATTATTTGGAGCTCTTGCAACCAGGGAAAAACTTTTGACAGACAGGTATTCTACCATAAATTTTGATGAGTTCTTATTGTCATCAGTGCTACTATGGATTGGGATTTCAGCCTCCCCTCCCCCACACACAAAAAAAAATCCAAAAACAAAATTGTAGCAAGGATTTACAATTTGTGCTAATGGTGTGGATTTTAGTGTTTTACACAGGCAGCAAATTTATCTTTTAAGTAGGTTGTGAGTTAAAACTTATTTAGATTTGTTTATCAAAATGTCACTCAGCTATATTTTTATAAGTATTGGATGATGTACATGTAAGCTTTCATGTTGAAGGTTGTGTTTTATAATAATGAACAGGGAGATTCTCAGTTTCAATTGTTCCTCTCTGCTGTTAAAACTCTGTTTACTGATCATTTGAAACCTGAAAGAGTACATTGCCTGATAGAAAAAAGGATTTGTAATTTTCACATATTTGATACTTTCTAATGGACTGCATCTTGATTAAATATCTATATATACTGCTAATTTGAATATTTGCATGCGAATGGTATCTCAACTATCCTGGAAAAATTTTAACTGTTGGATTTATCATTGTACAAACCTAAGTTGCACGGCACATAAATGATCGCTGGGTTAAATATTTTCTCTGATGCAAATGTCTAATTTATTAACCTTGGCATGTTTTTTGCTTTTAGATTGACAGCAGAAATTTGTTGGGTTTGTCCTGACATCTGTAGGTTTTTGTAAGCTTTTAAGCCTTGAGACTGTTTCTTAGACATTAAGTTTTCCTTATCTTCTTGAGAAGCATATGTTATGTATGGGTTCAATTTGTATGTGAAAGTTTCATATTTGCATTACATTCAATTGATCTGTTGTTAAATTTTAGGGCATAACTAAACTACTTATGCAGGTTACTTACAGCTACTGTTGCTTGGCCTTTCCCAGCACTTATTTATGTGGGAATCATTCTTTCAACCTTAGGTGCAGCTCTTCAAAGCCTGACAGGGGCTCCACGCCTGCTTGCAGCTATAGCGAATGATGACATCCTACCTGTTCTTAAGTACTTCAAGGTGGCTGATGGGAGTGAGCCTCACATTGCTACTCTCTTTACCGCCTTCCTCTGTATTGGGTGTGTTGTGATTGGGAATCTGGATCTTATCACACCCACCATAACTATGTTTTACCTTCTATGTTATGGGGGTGTCAACTTATCCTGCTTCCTACTGGATCTTTTAGATGCTCCTAGCTGGCGTCCTCGATGGAGATTTCACCACTGGAGCCTATCTCTTCTTGGAGCATTACTGTGTATAGGTACGTTTCCTTATGGTCAACTCCACTTGTATTGTTGTTGGTACATTTTTTCTTTTAGCGGATTTGGCTTAGAAAACAAAATTAGCTGGAGAGAAACTAGTAGTTTTAAATACAAGCTTGGTGCTTCAGAATAAGAAGGATGGCTTTTAGGAAAATAGAAGTTCGTACGTTGAAGGGCTTGGATGGAAAATTGTTCAGGGAATCTGGACGTAGAAATTGTGTAGGTTATTTGAGGTATTTTTCTCTTGTTTTATTAGATACTGTTGTTGGTATTGGATAGTAATTCCCATGTTGTTGAGAATTATATACGTTTGCACTTTTCTGTTTCCTACCAGTGTGAAGGTCAACAGTGAAAATGTAAATGCTTGTTACTAAGAGTTTGGACCTGTGCTCCTGGAATTTTATATTAACCTGCTGTTTTTCTCTTGCAGTGATCATGTTCTTGATTTCTTGGTCATTCACTGTGGTGTCTCTAGCCCTAGCAAGCCTTATATACTATTACGTGAGTATCAAGGGAAAAGCTGGAGACTGGGGTGATGGTTTCAAGAGTGCATATTTTCAACTGGCTCTTCGTAGTCTGCGATCTCTAGGAGGTGTGTATGCTTATCTTGAAGAAGACAAGTGTACCCTGATCTTGATAAATATAATGGACGATCAATGCTTTTGTATTGCCTTTTCTTTCCTTAATTTCTTGCTTTTTTTTTTCAAGAAAATACTTCTAGTTATCAAAACATCATCTTTCTTTTACATTATCATTTTCTGCAGCCTACATTTGTCCAAAATGCTGTTTGCTTATTGCACATTGGTTTTGCATGGACTATTTTTGGTGAATTCCAAACTGAGTGCTGGTTTAAATAGCACGTATAGGATCCATTTTTGTTTTAGAGGTTGCTATTCTTGGTTGACATTTTTCGTCATTGTTTTTGATAGGAGGCTAGAAATTGTACTAATGATAAAAGTGGAATAGTACATGAGAAGACAAGGAGTCCTTTAAGAAATACAAACTCAAAAATAAAATTGAGAAACTAAAAACATTAGAAGAAAAGGAGAAGCCCAAGTATGGGCATTCTTTACACATTTGAATTCACTGATCCTTAATCAAGAACAGAAGAATTCCTTTAAATTCTTTGGTCATGGAAGCCAAAGAGATGCTATGGAAGAAATTCTATCCCATAAATCTTCCCGAGGAGTCATCATCTCAAAATATCCTCCCATTTCTTTCCAACCTGGCTATCAAAACCAATGTCAATACCGTGCATCTCCACAAATGACATCATTTGTCATTCGTTTGACGATATGGTTCTGGAAAAAGTTTATTGAAGTTGAAATCTCAATTGGAATGCAGTTAGAGGTTTTGGATATGCATTGGGATATGACTTTTGGTATTGGCTGGAGCTATATTGTCATGACTGGGGTTAGTTGACCCTTTTGAAATATTTGTGGTAGTAGTGTCTGTAAGGAATATTATAATTTTTTGGACTTTTATTTGAGTATTTGGCTTTGAATATTTTTCAGAATTGGAGGTGGGGTCAATCTAAAACGTTAAAAGATGATTGAAAGATCTCATAAATAAGTAAAATAGTTTCAAAGATGCTAGTGATTCTTGGAACTACTTTGAAAGTAAATAAAAATAAACCTAAATACACCCCATTTTCGATATGGTTCGATTTGTGCAAAATGTTATTCAGAAAAAGCAGATAATTTTGTGGAATTCGTTGGGATATATTTCTCAATTGTGTGTTTAGACATACTTGTTGATTTTGCTGACTAGAAACTGCAATTGTATGTTAAAAATTGTATATAAGTTCCTCTTATGAAATTACAATTTTAATTTTTTGTTTATTTGGTTGAATATATGTAAATGGATGTCGTTACGATGTATTGTGATGAAGCTGGTATCTTTTATGCAGCAAAAGCTCGACTATTTTCTAGTTTTTGTTCAGATGAAGAATATCACACTAAGAATAGTTCAGCAACTCAACTTAGCCTTGTCTATAGTATTTTGGGGTCGACAATATAAATCCTATTCCGTCATTGGGCTTTATCAAGGGTCATTTTCTTTTTCTCAAACCGAAATCTATTCTGTTCTTCGCTAGTATCCCATGCAAAACTAATTTCTGCATTTACCCATCACTTACCATTGATAAGTGTCACATCACTCTCTCACTTTGCAGTAGTAGATCTTCTATAAGCACGTTCAAATCACCTAAGTTTATTCTCTCTTGATTTCTATGCTAGCAGCGCTACTTCTATTGTTTCACGAGTATTTCCATTTCTAATTTTTTTTTGGTTAATGTTTTACCACATATCCATCTAATTTCCTCATTTCTACCACACGTAGATTTTGAGCATGTTGTTTCTTTGCTGTGCAACACACTATACCATAAAGTATTATTGGTCTAATTGTGGTCTTATAGAACTTACCTTTTAGCTCAAGAGGTATTTACGGCAACCACATTATGCACCTGATGCATTTTCTCCCAAGTTAGTCCTTGTTTTATTTTGTGATCATCTTTAATCTTTCCCTCCTTGAGAAAAATTCACCCAAAATAGCTAAAGGTTCACTTTTTAATAGTTCTTGATCTTTGATTTTTACTATCCCCCTATTATACACATGATGCACTCTTAAGTAATCCATCCTATTTTAATTCAATGATTGACATTGTCTCTAATTTCTCCCTCCTTGCAAATAATTGAGACCCCAAATAAGTGAAGTGTTCATTCTTTAATATTTACTTGATTTTTCCTCTTTACGATCTCCTTATTTGAATTTTTTCTTTTTTTTTGAAGTTGAATTTCTAGTGTTACAAAATTTACGTTCTATATATGCAGTTCTATTTTTACTTATCATACATATCTTGAATCCTTTTAATTGTAAAGATTCTTACCAAATTTCCAAACTTTTTTCAAGAAGCCTAACCAGTTGGGAGGCCCGAGAGAACCCTATTTAGGGGAAAACAACTCGTTTCTCGCTTGTCCTCTCCTCTTCTTGTGCCAGCTATGTAACTTTCAACCTAGGAAGTACAGATATTTCCCACAGGGTGGTCGTGGCAGTATCGAACATGTGTCCGACACATATACGGCCAGGACACAACCGGACACGTGTCCGACACTGTTAAAAGTGTTGTGAATAGTGAATTCAGTTGGACACAGTCAGGACATGGTCAAGATACATCAAGGATACATCTTAGGACACAACCAGAACATGTCTAGGACACAACTAAGAATTTTTTTATTAAAAAAACAACTTTTAACTATTAAAAATTTACTTTTTTTTAATGTATTTTTTGTTACGTAACTTATATACTATGAATGTTAACTATTAAAAATTTACTTTTTTTTAATATATTTTTTGTTACGTAACTTATATACTATGAATGTTAATAGATGAAATGATGTTTGATGAAAATAGTGGATATTTAATTTGATCTATTTCAATTTTAATCATAAAAAATAATATTTGCTAGGTCTTATTATTAATATTATTTTAATATATGCTTTATTTTTAATATATTACAACTCTATTATTATTTAAAAAATATATTATATTATTTTAATAGCTGTATCCTTACCGTACCCATATCTCATATTTTTTAACTTTCTCGTATCCCCGTGTCCGTATCGGTGCTTCCTAGCTTCCAACCATTTGTTGATTTCAGAAATTAAGGCGTATCGTGCCACCGTGATTGGTTTTGGGTAACCAATATAAGTAGAGAATATTATGAGGTAATCATCACACTGCTTGAAATGAAAGCAGTGCCGTATTGTATTCAATACACTTACAAATGTGAGATGCAACAAAACCAGGATATTTAGTTAACTCTGCAGATTTTATATAGATCATCAATAAGATGTAAATTCTCAATGATCCCCTTTCAATGAATGGGTTAAACGAAAGTTTTTAAGTTCTGTTTTGTCTTATGTTAATACATTTAGTTCTGCTTTGTTCGATTCTGTTGTTAAATGAAAGTGTTTTCATATTTAGGAAATTTCAAGAAGTAGATGACTTTTATTTATTATCACGCATACTTCTTTCGATTTGTATTTCTGCCAATTAAACTTATCCTTGGATGGGTTTACCTGCATATATTGGCCCTTTCCGCTTTTGCTGGACCCCTTAGAACTAGATTTACTGCATGGGCTTGTACAATTAATATTTAGTCACTGCCAATTTCTTGTACTATTCCATTGTTGGAAAACTTGAGTTCATTGGATTCCACAATCTACAATTAATTGACTGTTTTTCTAACTTGTCGAATGCCATTGAAAATTCTGGTTTCTCTTTCTCTTTTATTGCTGCTACTTGTGCATGCGGGTAGGTGTCTCCATTAAGCTTGTATGATGTTTGTATTTATGATCTGTACTTGGCGTTAACATTGATATTCTATGCAGCAAGCCAAGTTCACCCAAAGAACTGGTATCCTATTCCCCTCATATTCTGCCGGCCATGGGGCAAGCTGCCGGAGAATGTACCCTGCCATCCTAAACTTGCCGACTTCGCCAACTGCATGAAGAAAAAAGGCAGGGGAATGTCCATCTTTGTATCTATCCTAGATGGAGACTACCATGAGTGTGCTGAAGATGCCAAGACTGCGTGCAAGCAGCTTAGTACATACATTGACTACAAGAACTGTGAAGGTGTAGCAGAGATTGTTGTAGCCCCCAGTATGTCTGATGGCTTCCGAGGCATTATCCAAACCATGGGCCTCGGAAATCTGAAGCCCAATATTGTAGTGATGCGGTACCCAGAAATATGGCGACGTGAAAACTTAACTGAAATCCCAACCACTTTTGTTGGAATAATTAATGACTGCATTGTCGCAAACAAAGCAGTAGTTATTGTCAAGGGCCTTGATGAGTGGCCTAACGAGTATCAGAGACAATATGGTACCATTGATTTGTATTGGATTGTGAGAGACGGGGGCCTTATGCTTCTCCTCTCCCAGCTTCTCCTTACTAAAGAGAGCTTCGAGAGCTGTAAGATTCAGGTCTTCTGCATTGCAGAGGAGGATTCTGATGCAGAGGAACTCAAAGCTGATGTAAAGAAATTTCTTTATGATCTTCGAATGCAAGCTGAAGTGATTGTGATATCGATGAAGTCATGGGATGCCCAAGCGGAGCAGCAAGATGAATCAGTGGAGGCTTTCACTGGCAGCCAGCGTCGGATTGCTAGTTATTTAGCGGGGATGAAGGAGAAAGCCCAGAAGGAAGGGACTCCACTGATGGCTGATGGGAAGCCTGTGATTGTCAATGAGCAGCAGGTTGAGAAGTTCCTTTACACCACATTGAAGCTGAATTCGACAATATTGAGATACTCAAGAATGGCAGCTGTTGTACTTGTGAGTTTACCACCGCCTCCTCTCAATCACCCAGCTTACTTTTACATGGAGTACATGGATCTGTTGGTTGAAAATGTGCCTAGGCTTTTAATAGTCCGCGGATATCGTAGAGATGTTGTCACTCTGTTCACATAGTTGCTCATATTTCATTGCCATACAGGAATTGAAAAGTTCTCTTTTTTTCTTTTTACTTCCATTGTGGTTCATATATTTTCCTTTTACCCTTTCGTTTCTGTAGTGCTTGTAGCTTAAATGTTAGATTCATTCTTTTTACCACCATTCTTGTTAATAGAAAAATTTTGTTACGTAATCCAATGTCATGGCAATTAGTTTTTTTTTTGGGATAATACTTTGAGAGTATGTATATTACAATTGACTTTAAACTTTCATCACCTTATTGTTAATTGAAGGGTGTGGTATAGCTCAGTTGTCATGAAGAACTTTATATATGAGCAGTGTTTTTTTTAATGCAACGTCCACTTAATGATGGATCTCTCTCTCTGTCTCCTTTTTGTTCATCATGCCCTATTGTAGAGCCATTTTTTATTGTAGAAACATGTTTTGGTGTTTCTCTCTATCACTACCCCCCCCCCCCCCCCCCCCCCAAACCGACAACGCCCTCCTTTTTTTGGTTCTATTTCCGTGTTCATCATGCCAGATTGTAGAACCCTTTTTAATTAATTGAAACATGCTTGGCATATAGTCGTTGCAATTACAAACATCTATTGTTAACTGAGTTGTGTATTTATCAGGCTATGTATTGGCAGTTTTTTGTGTTTTATTGGGTGGGTGTGGGTTTTTTTTTTTTTGGGGGGTAGGGGTGCAACTTGGTCGGGTTAACCTGAATTCAACTCGAGCCTAATCCAAAAAAAAAAAGGGTTTGAGTTAGAATTTTTAATATTTGGGTTGGGCCTGGACAAAAACATTTCAATCCGAATTGAATTTTGGCAAGTTTCAAGTTGAGACTTTGGGTTATCAGGTTGAACCCGAATATTAAAATCGAGTTGAACATGAAAATATATAAATATATTTAACTAAGGTTAATATTTTTTTTCACTCTTTAAAGTCAAGACTTAAACTTTAGTTTAAATCTTCAACCCTAAGCCTCTATTACTCACAGATCCGTTTTTCACTTGTCACTCCTCCCTCTCTTAGCCTCTCTCTCTTAATTGTCACGCGTCTGAGTTGTCTCAGCCTCCCTCTCTCACTCGTCACTCCTCCTTCTCTCATTCTCTCTCTTTTTATCTGCGTTTTGCCCTTTATCTTAGATCACTTGAAAAAATCATATCTACACTTCAAAAAATCAAATTTACACTTCAAAAAATCAACCCGAATTAAGTAATCTAAGCCCAACTAGACTTTTAACCCGAATTCAACCCGAGTCAGTCCGAATTAAACTCAGGCAGTACTCAGATTAAGATAGGATTAGGGTTGAAGATTATATACTTATGATCGACCTCTCAACCAGCCCAACATGCTTGAGTTGCACCCCTATGCATAGTTGTTGCTAATTTTAAATACGAATCGATGAACTCGACTAAAAATTAATTGGTTCGAAATTAGTCTTAGTTGATTCAGATGATAAATGAATGAACTTGTTGGATGCATTAAATAAATGTGTCTGACATGAATTCATTAAACACAATATATGTGCGGCACGAATCTCAGGCTACACGAACTTAGCTGATAATAAATTAGTCGGTTGTGCGTTGAAGAAATTTTGATACAAAACCCCCTTGCAAAGACATGACTTGTTGCCAGGCTTGGTGCAGAGGTGCATGTTAGTACATTTAAGTACTTTTAATAGTGTACTTCGATGTAGTCCTAAACTCTATAAATGACATGTAGGGTTGGTTTGGTTGCTGCAGTAAAAATTGGTAGATTGGATAAAAAAAATTAATCTAATACAATATAGATAGAAAAAATATAAGATTAAATGAAATATTAGAATAATACATAATTTTATCTAATGTTTGACAAACTCGACATAAGCGTTGGATATCAGTTATTTGTTTAAAAAATTATTTTATCGTATTAATATTGAATTAATAATAATATATGATGTAGGTTACTAAATTAAATTGTTAAAATGATTCAAAGATTAATAACTAAAAAACATGTGTTCACCTGATTTCCTATCCGATTTCTTATCCGATTTTTTTGGACAGAATTCGGATAGAAATAGTATAATTGATCAGGTAGGGTAGGACAAAAAAAAATTCTTCCGCAAAGTATTGAATAGGAAGATGAAATACCCTAATTCTTGCCCGTACTCGTTTGGTAGACGTATTATGAGGGGACTAAATATTGGATTGTACTATTTTTTATTTAATCGAGTCTAATACTTTGTTTGGTAAACAAATTTGATACCATATTAATTTCAAAAATGTATACTTATCGTATATTTTTTATACGATAGACCTGTACTATGGAGGTTTTTTAATACCACCAAAAGATGTGGTATTATAATTCAATTCAAATATATTATTCTACATATTTACTATTATAACCCCTAAGTGATAAATTCAAGTTGTCATCAATATAACAAACACTAATTGTGGGTATTTTTGTTAATTCAACATTAATACGAGAAAATAATTCTCTAACCAAACAACCAATTGGATTACATAATTACTATTCAACGTTTATATTGTGTATTACCAAACATTACGTATTATTCTAATACCATATTTAATCTTATCTTTAATTCATCTGTATTGTATTAGACTCTATTATTTTATCTAATTCATCCAATTTTAATACGGCAAGCCTACATAAAATATGGAGACTAGTATAACCCCGTACAATGCACAAACAAATATAACTTTTAAACATATCATATATGCATTGGGGAGCATTTGTGTGTATGTGGTCTCACTCCTACAAATGTTTTTTTTACACCACTACTAATTGAATATTTGAACAAAGAGGGTAAGAAATAGAAAGTATGTGGGTAATTTTGGGCTAAAAATATCAGCATATGTGAAATTAAAAAGTAGAAGTAGGAGCTTTGCTATGGATGATTACTATTAGTAACGAAAAACATAAGAAAACCATTAAAACAACAATAATGACGAAAAATTCTGCCATTCCTGATGTGCAATCAAAAAGCAATAGTAGGATAGGAGAGCTAGAAAGAGAGGGAGGGATGAAAACTAATTCGAAAGATACAATAAGAGACCCGAAATGAAAAGGAAGAGAGACCTGTTGGGTGTAACGGTAATATCATATCATCAATGTCACATGATATTATTAATTAATTATAAAAATAATAAATAAGATTGGTGAATCCCATTATTACAACATGATAATTATTAGATAAGGTGACTATTGATAGAGCCTACTAAGTTCACTTGGTATCTTATCACTAGTTGGTGACACTAAGTGAACATTGATGATATGGTATCACCGTTACATTCAACATTTTTCTCGGGCATTAGACATTGTATTAGAGGAAAAGATATTGGATGTAATTGTTATATCACGTTAACAGTGTCGTGTGATATAACCGCCCACTAATAAGTAAACAAGTTAGCAAATAAATCCCATTAAAACTCATAACCACATAGTTGTGTAATACATAACCACCTCCATGATAAGAAGTTGACCCAATTTTGTTGTTTTATTATTGGATAGTTATACGCAATGGGCTCGTTTGGTAGATGTATTACAAGGGCACGTTTGGTAGACGTATTATGAGGGAATTAATTATTGAATTATATTATTTTTTATTTAATCAGGCCTAATACTTTGTTTGGTAAGTAAATTTAGTACCATATTAATTTCAAAAACGTATATTAATCGTATACTTATAGTATATTTTTTATGCAATAGAAATGCATTATGGAAGTCTTTTAATACCATAAAAAGAGGTGTTATTATAATCCAACTCAAACGTATTATTCTACACATTTACTATTATAACCCCCAAGTGATAAAAATCACAATGTCATCAATATAACAAACACTAATTGAGAGTATTTTTGTTAATTTAACATTAATATGATGAAATGATTCTCTAATCAAACAATTGATTGTATTAAATAACTACTATCCAATATTTATATTGTATATTATTAAATATTAGATAAAATTACGTATTATTTTAATATCATATTTAATCTTGTCTTTTATCTATCTGTATTGTATTAGACTATACTACTTTAAACAATCCATTCATTTTTAATACGGTAATCAAACAAGCCCTAAGTGGATTAAATATTGTATTGTACTATTATTTATTTAACTAGGTCTAATACTTTGTTTGGTAGATAAATTAATTTCGTATTAATTTTAAAAATATATACTAATTGCATATTTATTGTATATTTTTAATGTCAGAGATCTGTAATATGGAGGTATTTTAATACCACTAGAAGATGTGATATTATAATTCAACTCAAATGTATTATTACATACATACTCCGCAACTGATAAAATCAAATTGTCACCAACGTAACAAACACTTTGATGAATTGATAGACAGTATTTTTGTCAATTCAACATTAATAAGATGATATAATTTTCTAGTCAAACAACCATTGAATTAAATAATTATTATCCAACGCTTATATTGCGTATTGTCAAACACTATATAAAATTACGTATTATTTTAATATCATATTCAATTTTGTCATTTATCCATCTGGATTGTATTGAACTGAATTACTTTATCCAATTTATTTATTTCTAATATAGCAACCAAAAGAGTTTAATATTTACTCTTATCGGAGATAAACAATGGACCCGAATTTAAAGTAAGGAAAGAGATTGATAAAACTCCGTGATTTTATCGGATGGAAAAGTGGACAGTTTCATTTAAACAGACTGAACATATTGAAAGACATCAAGGAGCTGGTGATGTTTCTGATGCAATCAAAGATAGTCAAAATGAGGAATCCTCTAACATTATCTTGCATCAACAAAATTTTGCATCTCTTATGTTCCCAACGCTAGGTATACCCGGAACCTCATCTCATACCTTATGAAAAAGACCACCCTTTTGAAGCAATAGAGGTTTTGTTTTGGAGTAAGATATAGTGAGCACTTTGTTGGAAGATCTTTCGGCACCTTTGGAGGTTTCCAAAGTTTTTTTTTTCGGTTACAGGGTGTCTAATCTTGTGCCGACTACTCCC